GCCCTACTTCTTAAGTATCACAATAGATGCGGCAAAAGGAGAGGAATGTACTGGTTTGTTTATTTTTACAATAGAACTACTATAGTACATGTACATGTAAGTCAAAAGTTATAACAAGAAAATGAAGGCTCAGGAGAACACAAATGGACTTTAATTGCATCTTGCTAAAGTTGAGTATTAATCATGTTCTGCAAAATCAATTTTTGTTAATTTACAACTTAATCAGGTATCGAAGTGGGTATTTGAGTACCGTACGGTTGGTAATATTCAAGGGTCCAAAATTTCGTGTTTTCTCCAAAATGTCTTTAGAAACTACATGCAATATTCGTGGGTATAAATATTCGTGGATGGCAGTTAGCACTCTTCTTTTCACTTGGATCTACTGGACTAGCTTCCAACACATGGCTTATAGTGGAATATAGAGTAATAGACAAAGACTCTGGCTCCTCCACTGGCTTGAAAATAGTAGTTAGAGATCTGCATGGCCCGTTAATTAGTTTTTATGTGTGGGTGGGTAGGGGTTAAAATTTCGTGGATAAAAATTAACCACAAAATTAACGAAAATTAATATCCCACGAAAATTAATATCCCACGAAATTTACCAACCGTACGGTATACATTAAGTGTAAAATCTGTATCGAAAAGTATTAGTAAATTATGATATCAGTGGAACACTACTGCTAATTACATGCTAATTTGAGTGGCATAATCTAAAGAATTTTTTTAATTTTTAAGAATAATGTGGAATGTTGATCTACAAGCATAACCAAGAGTACAGTACATAATAAAATAACAGCTAATTTTCAATTATAAAAACCTCAGCCCTAAACCAGAGCTACATGTACATTTACATGTACAATGTACATGTACGAACTAACCCTTTCCGCTTCTATCATCAGTATTAACTGAGCTCTTAGTCCCAGCAGTCATTGACACAATAGGAGCAATATCATCACTAGGAGGTGATGGTGATAATGTACCTTCAGTGACAGGAGAGGCAACATGAGGGGGTGAGCGGTAGGGGGCCGGGGGTCGTGGTGGGGCCGGACGACTCTTTGGTTTATTTAAATCGGAAGGAGGAGTTTTATTAGCAGGTAGCTTCTGTGGGGAACGTTTCTTCTTTCTTGGTTTTGGTACAGGACCATCCCCAGAGAGCGAAACACCACCAGCAACTGTTACTAAAGTTGAGGTTTCATCTTCATCTCCAGTGGTATCATCAGGAGTCTCTACACTAATGAGACGACTCACAGCTGGATCAACAGGAACATCACCCCCACTATCCAGCTCTTCTTTCTTTCGATTTGCTTTATTAGCCACGTTAACCTTAGCATAAGGTTTATCTCCAATCATCACATGTTCAATTAGCGTAGCAGCAGGTGTGGCTCCTGATGATGCTGTAGTTGGTTCAGTTTTGTTAGTCAGTGAAGGAGGAAGGAGTGGTCTTGGGGGTGGAGCTTTGAACTTGTAAGAAGAGTCTGGGTCAGTAGAGGGTGTGGTCTTTGACTGGATACTGGTTCCTAGCAATATTAAACATAATTATAGAAGCAGGGCTTCAAATTAAGGAAGTTACTGTATATGTGTACATGTAAGTGAATGCTACAAAATAATGAAGCAACTATAAAAAATTCAGTTTGATTGGAATCAGTTCAAACTCCTGCATGTCTACAATGTATAATTGTACATGTACATGTACATGTATGTATCAGGAAAAATTATTAAAATGGAGAACTCTCTCCTTTTCAGTTTTGGCAAACTTTAGTCAAAGACTGCCCTAAATGTATAGTACAGGGTCTTTGACTAGATTTTTGAGCAACTTTAAAAATTCAAAAAAGTCCAATATTAATCAAAACTTTCTAAACAACATAAGTATATGTATATGTACATGCATCACAAAATTAGTGAAATCATTCATTTTATGATACATTGTACAGTAGTGTTTTAACTAGCTTAAAATAAAACTAAAAATAATTTTAGTGATGACATTGTCAAATTTCAATTTTAATTACGTAAACATACGTGTACACATAACCATAAACCAAGAATAAATAATACTAAAATTAAATAAAATAGATGCTAAACAGTACCTCACATAAAAAAACTAAACTAGAAATAATTATTACTCACAATGTGAAACTAGCTATACAAAAATATCTATAACTAAATTAAACTAAAATTAAATCTTAGTGAGGCTCTTTTGACTCTTAATTAACTGCATGACTAAAATGAAAATAGAATAACTACCGTGCACATGTACGTGTACATGTACATTTACAAGTATAGGTACATGTACACGTACATGTATAACTAAATTACAGTAATTCTTAAATGAAAACAAAAACAATACTACATTGCACATCGTAAACATACTTAATGCTTCCGGTAGTACTGATGGTATATCGTGTCCCTTTCTCCTCATTAGAACCAATTTCATTGCGATAATGAACTCGTCAAAATTTAACTGGCCATCTTTATTGATGTCAGATAGCTTCCTGATAATGAAAAGATTGGAGCATGTTTACAAAATACTAATACAAATATATACATAATAAAAAATAAACAGAAATCAATAACTTCATACAGTTATTTTTTACACAAATAAAAACATTAGAAGCTCACCATATTCTAGACAACTCGGAAACTGGTAAATTGGACTTCATAAAAAAATCTCTTGCTTTATCGCCAGACAGAAAACCACTCCCTTCCGTCTCAGGACAAAGACTAGAAAACTGCTGCTGACACTTCTGATACAACTCATCAGAGACCGACCAATCAATTTCAATAATCCCTTGTCTTATAACAGGAGGGCTGGGCGTAAACGCAGTTGCAAGAGATGACTGTGGGACAGTAAGTGATTGATCAACATTAAAACCAAACGATGGCGGAATCATAACTCCAGCACTACTAACAGGAGGAGGAGGAGGAGGAGGGAGAGAAGAAGCATCAATTGTAATGACGTTACTATCAACGATTGGTTTAAAATCAAATATGTCTCCCTCCATGCCACTTGCATCAAATAAAGGAAATTTCGCTTCGTTGGGCGGTGTAAAATGAACCGGAAAGCTGCTATCAATATTACCCAGTTGAGGATTAACGGCAGTTGATGGAGGGGGCGGGACTGCTGGTGGAGGAGCAGGAGTCACTACAAATGTCTTTGCAGTCGATGACCTTTTCTCCCTCGCTAAATGACCTTTCGATAACAAAAAGTTTTCAGTGTCATCTTCGTCGTCATCACCATCACCATTACTATCCTCGTTCAGTGTGGAGTATTGCTTGCGACCTTTCGCATTTCCAGCTCCACTAACACGAATACCTGATCCCTTACGACCCAACTTAGACCCACCTACTGCCATCTCGGATGAAGAGCGTAGTTTTGGTGAACCAGGTGGAGTTCTAGTTTTGATAATACCTTTATCTGAGGGTTTACGCCTCAGGGAAAAACTAGTCATTTTCTGTACATCGACTGATAGGTTTCTTTCTCTTCCTTCTGGTCCAGCTCCCGTTTCTTCATTGCTGTCAGGAATAGAGGGTACTTCTCTTGATATCTCGTTCATCAGTGACATTATTATTTAATATTTACTAGTCAAATAAAAATGACAAAAAAAATCATAAATACCATTGACATTATGTCACGAATGTCTTACCAAGTTAAGACGAAGAGAAAGAACTATTATACAGATCTAAGAAGTAGCCAGGAACTAACTCATTTACCTCATCAACGAGCTCAATGGGCCTCTAGTCTAGTAAATAGATCACGTGATCCCAGCCACACCTCTCAAACATGTCACATGACTGCATTCTCAGCTCAAGATGGCGGCGCTCCCTCCAAGGTTGAAGGGCATTCAAAGCTATATCAGTGTTTCCAATCAGTATAAGCAGAGAGATCCAGTCATTTCTTATTACTGTTAGTGTAGACTATACTGTGTAATATGTGAACTTCTCCATTAGGTCATCTTTATGCCTTAAATAAAGGATTACCATTAGCTAAAGGAGATTCCAGTGCCAAAGAAGCCATATTGAAACTAATGGATGATGCTGAAAATGTAAGTACTGTATGGGTAGTAAATTTTGAGGGCATAAAATGTCATGTTTTAGTGAAAAGTCTTAATTTTTTAATTGTGAGGGGGTTAAATTTTGCTTTTTGGCACATGCACTTGCATTAAGTCATAGATTATTATGTGCTGTGCATTAGCAATTAATTTTCATGATTAAGAGTCATCCATGAAATCCGTGCAACACGGAATTTTATAGTTTGTAGAATTTTATAGATAAATTGAATGTAAAAAATATATATTATGTATAAAGTCATATACATGTAATAATACAATAGGTGCATGTATGTGTATATCAAGGTGTCATACTTGTATGTATTATTATACATTCTAAAGGCAATTACGATTTGATTCATGGTTTTCCATACCCATGCCACAACTGCTGTTAACGCAGTAGTATTAATTTTACTCTCAATAATTAGTACAGGTGATAATGAATAGTAATATTATTAAGCTTCCTCTCTGCCCACTTGAAACTATTAATCAAATCCCCAATTGCTTAACTACGTATATTAATTTTTATGTATACAGCTAAAGAAGAGTATTGAAGACAAAGAATATATAAAAGATGAAATTGTTGCTCAGTCTTACGTGGAAGATGCTGCACTCAAATTATTTAATAAAGCCGACCAGGCAGATAGAGCAGCAATGTTTGACAAGTGAGGATTAAAAAGATTCTTTCTTTGCAATGAAATGTGTCTATTCTTATTTTTTAGAAAACTAACTAAAATGTTTTACGTTGCATCGCAATTGTTTACTGTACTGGAGCATTTTGGTGACTTAACTGATGAGGTATAGTACATTGCACTTACATTGAGAGATTAAATTTGTGGCTATTTTTTGAAGATAGAGCATAAGAGGAAATATGCAAAATGGAAAGCTGTCGAAATCGATCGCTGTCTTAAGAATGGAATAACACCGACCCCTGGACCAGCTGGAGTTAATGAGGGAGAGGATGATGATGATCCATCTCAATTTGGCCAACCTGTGGCAATACCACCACAGCCTCCAGTATGTACTGTAATAATAAATGTTTTTTATACTGTGTACACTGTACAAGCTAGAATTTTTGTGGCCCAAATATCTGTCAATTTTGGAAGATGGCATAATTTTAATTTTTTTAAATTTTACTCCTTATTTAAGCCATGTATAGTGGGCCAAAGTGCATTTACAAAAATAGAATTAGCCGGAGAATTTTTTGGTAACCTTTATTATTGTACGGCAAGAACTTTTGTGGCTTAAATTGTATGATTTAGATCCCAATTATAATTTGTCAAGTTGATTTTTTACCGGGGTCACAAAATAATTAAGTTACATGGTATTATACTTTTTGTTATAATTAGGGTTCATATTCCGGTGTGCAGCCTTACCCACCAATGGGTCCACCATACCCACCAACAAATAGTGCCACACCTCCATACCCACCCACCACAGGCGTTCCTCCTCCAACTGACCCAACACCTACTGTGTCCCCATACCCACCTAGTGCTGCATCTCCATACCCATCAGCCCCACAGCCTCCAACTGGTCCCACTCCTACACCTCTCCCTCGCTCCAATCCTCCTGGAACTAGAAGTACGCCCATTAAGCTCGGTGAGACGACTAGTGGTGGTGGTGGCAAGATTGAAATATCAGGAGTACAAAAGGAAACTGTACAGAAGTACTGCAAATACGCCATTAGTTCAATGGATTTCAATGATACTGAGGGAGCCATTTCTTTCTTAGAGAAGAGCTTACGCATTTTAAAAACCGGGAAAGAGGATTAGACTCGAAACACAAAAATTAATTTTTATTAATGTAACAGTTTTAAAACATAATAATAATATTAACAATGTGTCTTGTATTATTACTACATGTAGCTCCAATAATGACTAAAATAATGAATATTAACACAGATTAGTAACTAAAAATGTGAATATTAATAATAATTATTGTTATAATTGTAAACTAACTTAATCAATTTCAATGGCGTCGTCATCATCATCGTCATCTTCATAATCGTCATCAAACAATATTCCATCTTCTTCTTCACCAGGATTCAATGATGTAATCTCGTTTAGTTTGGCTACAATTAAAAATTATTAGTAATAATAATTATTATTAATTTATTATTACAATTTGCCAGTAGCCATGCACACATGGTCATGTAATGCCCAGGGTTTCCCATAAAGCATGCTGAGTGAGCTACATGTAGTTAGCAATTAGCTCACTGACAATAATTAGCTTAGCTTAGCATATTACATAATACAGTACATGTACTGTACATGGTGTTTGGAGCAACTTTAAAAATTCATAAAAAATCCCAATTTGATCGCAATCAGTTCAAGCTTACTACAAAACATAAGAACATGTATATGAATTAGAAAAATTATAGAAATGGAGAATTCTCTCTTAGTCATTTTTCTAAAAGTCAAATTGCTCACAAAATGGGCTAAAGTACAGTACATATTTTGAGCAATTTGACAATCCACTGACAATTAAAATCTGCAAGAGTACTATGCCTAAATCCTGTGGGAAGCCCTGGTCATGCCTGGCTAAAGTCACCCTAGGTTTAGGGATTTTTAGGATTTAAAGTTAAATTTTAGGCTTGGGGTTTTCAGCTTTTGAGAAGCAAATTGAGTCAAGGGAACCAAGATTGTACAGAAATATGGTCTGGGGACCAGGGACCAAGTTTTTCACAACAGTTACCTGTCTCAGGTAGTTCTCCATATGTCTTAAGGTTCCTTGCTTCATCAGGATTGTAACGTAATATCACATCAGCTTTACTGTCTTGATAATCTCTCAAACCAATCAGTATAATATCACCCTGATTAATCCACACCTAATCATAAAATCAATTTTATAACTATTGAATTTATTTAAAATGTAGTACCTTCTTTCGTAATTTTCCTCGTATATGGCAGAGCCTGTTCATTCCATCAAAGCAGTAAGCTTCAAGTCGACCGTTACCCAACATTTTGATTACTTGAGCATATTCTATTAATAAAAGTTGATAATAACAATTACTTGCTAATAATGTTGACACAAAGTGCTAGCTCAATCTGTTTTGAACTGACAGATCAGATTTGGTGAACATGCGGTTATGATATACAGATATACACCTACACGTACATGTACATGTACCTACTACCTACATGAGCATCTACATGTGTACCATTGCCGATACCAAACCTTTAGTATGTACATGTACATGTACACATGCATGGAAGGGTAGTAGGGTACATGTACATGTATGTCACTCTTCATATTCAAGGAAACTACATGTACAAATGAAGTTTTATTACTGTAGTACCATACAGCCGGAAAAATTGGCAGTTCAAAATAAAACCGCCAATATTATAACCGCCAATAATAATTGTAATGATAGGCGGATCCCATCATGAGCACATGATACTAAAAAAATGCCAAAATGGCAGTATTTCTGAGTATTTCTCACTATTTCAGTCAAGACTGTGGGCAAGGACTGGCAAGGAGCAGCTTCAAGAAGAGCTGAGAGTGCTTAAAGAAAAAAACAAGATAGTAAACCGCCAAATTAAGAGACCGCCAATATTACATTTAGGCAATTTGATGCAAAGCCACTAAATTTTTAGACCGCCAAATTTTCCGGCTATACGGTATAATGCAAGGCTTGTTATACATGTAGATGCCATAATAATCACGGTGGGGGAAATGAATTAAAATTCCATTGCTAATCTTGTCTCTAAACAACTGAAAGGTGTCTCTATAAAACTTCAAGAACTGCATGTATTTAAAAGAAACATAGTGGAAGTGCCTATGTATGGGTAATGCCCACACACACCAAATAGACACATTCCTTAGCAACACAAATTGAAGAGATCAATACCATACAGCGCAAAATTTTCAAAGGTTGTAAATTTTAAAAATCGGCCCGAGTATCTATTTTGCCAAGTTGATCTTCATAGTAATGCTACAACAAAAATAACAGACTTATTCTTCATTTTCAAGGAATAACAATCATTCTATCTATCTTCACTTTCTAATGAGGACGAGGTGTGGCTTTAAGGATGTCAATACATGTATGCTCTAAATTCACGAGTTTAGTTACAACATGTATACCAGTGCTCTTGATACTAGTGCTCATAATCGACTAAAGCATAATGGCTCATACCTTGTCCGTCTTCTTTAAAAACAAGCTCTCTCTTGTCACTTTCGTTTTCGTTCTTTCCTCTTCTCCTGTTCTTACCACCTTTACCTAAAACAAAGAAATATAAAGGATACATATACTGCCTTGATACCTACCTTTATTCTTCGGCATTTTAGATGTAAGACCGAGTGCTGACTCACTTCAAAGGACTATGACTGTGAATGGTATTTATGATGGGAATTACTAGTATATACGGAATAGATTTACGGATTTCTTGATTTTATTAAAATTTGGCACCCGGGCCCCCTCTTTTGCAAAAATTGTAAAGGTGCAAGTATAGGGGTAAAGGGTATACCCCGCGGTGTTCTTGCGGACAGCCAGTCAGCCACCATGGCAAAAGCTCTTGAAGAAGTTGAAGTTGAAGCTAATTTCGGTGAAACAAAGTTAGTGCACATTTATAATTTATGAAGACGTGACTTTTAGATTATTTTTAGCAATCTGAAGTGTTCTGACTGTGATCCTGTGACACGGGATAACTCAAAGTAAGCCTTGCATATCATTGCCAGAATAAGCTAATTTTATTTTCAATTTTTTTATTTTCAATTTTTTTCTATTTAAAAAGATATATCAAGAGTTCAAAGAAGAGTACTGTAAGCTTTTATGTAGTATAAATTTAAAGTGTTTTAATCAAATTAAATGCCGGGTTTAATTAGTTTTAATTTGCCCAATACTGCATGGTTCCAATCCCCAGCCATCATGTCCGGCACCAGATCTTTATTGAAATAATGTAGGCTAATCGGGATATTCATCGGGATACCATATGTACCAACGATTTTTTGGTGACCATTTGGGTGGGGGAGTATTAATCACACAGTAACCATAGACCGTAAAATCTGCTTTTGCACATTATGGCAGCAATGATGAGGCTGCTCCAAATTGTTACAGTGGCATAGAAATAAAAATTAAGGTTGGAATTTTTTCTCTCTGGGTGTAGTTTGTTAGTTCTGTTGAAAAGATTTCACCATTGAAAACTGAGCAGTACAAACTATAACTTGATACTTTCACAATGATGGGGAGAATGAAATTTTTATTTACAGTATCCCAATGAATTACAAAGTTCAGGAATATTATGCATCTCATTCACATGTATCTGGAGGATGTTCCATGCATGTGTGGGACATTAACAGAATAGCTATAATTTTAATTTCTAGGATGAATTTCATGTAATTGGTCCTTTTGATGAGGAATTCATTTCTTTGGATGATGTTTTGGGATATATAGCTCCAGCTTCTGGCTCTGAGCAAGAGAGCACTCATGCTCATAAAAGTCTCAGCTTTTTTAAGAGGCTTACTTCTGGAAACATGATCACATCTGGGAAAAAGAAGTGCACTAATATTGTGATGAGCATTGCAGGAGGATCCCAGTACATTGGACAATCAAGTATTCAAAAAGGTAGAGAAGGCCCAGAAGAGATAAGGCAATGAGAGTATTCTTGTAGATAAAAGTTATTTGGTACATAATTAAGGAATAAATTTTGTTTATTTTTATAGTCTACCATCAAGAAAGTGCTGTTTCAGAGTTACCACCAACCATTGTTGAAGCATGCAAAGTAAAACCTTGCCAAGAAATATATAATTTTACCTTAAGTATTCTAAGTTATCTTTGAAGTGTCTGAGAGACTACAATAATGGCCTCATTCAAGAAAAATGGCTGGCAGAAACTAGTCATCTCTTGCAAAATGAGACCCTCACTATTGGTGTTTTTGGCCGTCACAAAGCTGGAAAGAGCACAGTGTTAAACGCTCTTCTTCATCAAGAGTAAGTCTGACTTTTGTATTATTTTAAAATAAGGATACAGAAATGTGCTGTAAGTAAGGAGAACACGAAAACTTATGAGGATAATTTTTTTTGAGAAGATTAAGTGTAGCATGGTCCCTATAATAATAATCAGAATGAAAGTGTCTACTTTATTTGTTTTACCTATCCACCAGATCTGTGTGAATGAGATGCATGATATTCATAGACTATTTAATGATATTCATTTGGATACCGTAAATAAAAAAATGATTCAGGCCGCCATGTTGGGAGTATACTTTGTACAGTCTTCAATGGGGAAAAGGTGTTATTTTACCGTTTTGCCAGCAGAGCAAAGGAGCTACATCCAGAGAGAAAAGACTCAAACCTTAATCTCCATTTCTATACCACTGCAACAATTAGGAGCCTCTAAGTAACGCAGAAAAGTAGATAAGGCAGATTTTAGCCTTTTGGCCCTTTACTTACTGTATAGTTTATGCCCTCAAGATGGCGGCCAGGAAATTCTGTTATTTTTACGATATCCCTATGAATATCATTAATCTAGTTAACGGGGATCTGGTGGATATCATTATTTAGTTTTTGTTTTCACAGAATATTACCTTCAGCTGTTACGAATGAAACTGCATTCATTACAAGCATTCATCATGAGCCCTGTTTACATCAAACCAATACATGTTCAGAGGACTGTGAGGTAATTTAGTTTAATTATTTTAGATTTTTTACTGTCTTTATTTTTAGCGATTTCTTTCGATAATGAAGACAGATGTGAAAGGTCGCCGTAATGTTCGTAGCACAATTAGAAAGAAAAATTCAGACATTCGAGACAATAAGCAATCTGTCAGTGAACACAATTATAGTAAATATTGTTTACATAGTTTTTTAGCCAATGGAAGGTGAAGCAGTAACAGCACATGTTCCTTTCCTATGCAAATGCTCCACTGGTAACATCAAAATTGTACTATTGGATACTCCTGGTCTTGCTGAGTCAAATGAATTGGGAACGTCTGAATTATCAGAGCACCAACTAATGACCTGCTCTGCCTTCATTTATGTTATATCATGTTTACAGTTGGAGGATGCTATTGACGCAGACACACTAAGGGCTATAGCTGAGAGAGATCCATGTAAGCTATATAAAGTCATTATAGTATATAGACATGTATTATACATGTATATATACTATAATGATTTTATCTTTACTTTGATCCACTATACTATTCATATCTTTCCTGTGAATGACGTTTCCAATTTATAATAATATTCATTTGGATACCGTAAATAGAAAATTTTACAGGCCGCCATTGTGGAGGTATTGCTGCACTGTTTCCAATAGAGCTCGATACACTTTCTGCCGTTTTGTAAGAAGAGCAAGCAGTTATAGTCTCAAAAGTTAAAAAATTGCAACCTTTATCTTTCTTTTCAGTAGTCTGCAACTGTTTAGAGCCACTGGAGTGGCGTGGAGAAGTAGAATTGACAGTTTTTAGCCTGTCGGTCCATTGTAACTAATGATAGTATACCTCCACAATGGCGGCCTGAAAAATTTTCCATTTACAGTATCCCAATGAATATCATTATAAATCGACAAAATCATTCACAGGAAAGATATGAATTATTGTATTATTAAGATAGTGTAATGTGTACTGTTATTGTAATAATCAACATTCATACTACAGCTGGTTGGGGATGTTTGTCAGTGTTTAATATTGGTAATAGTACTGTTATTGTTATCCTTTTTATGCCAATTATAACTATCAAAACAATGAATCCATATAATAATAATAACCACAACTTACTATAACTTGTTGTGGTTGGGTTCCTTTCCCTTTACCAGTTAACCACTAAGTTGGCATTGCAGCAGATTTTGTTTTTTAAGCTTTAACATTATTTGTTTCAAATACAAAAATGCCACGTACATGTATGGTTGTATGCACTACCACTATTAGTGATTTGTGTGTGAAATAAAAACCTGTTTTGATTGTGATTTATTTTAGGTGTGTTTAGTGAGAAGCGCATGCTCATTGTTGTAACAAGGCTGGATGAATATAAAAAGTCCGAACAGAAATGTAATGATGATTCAATCCATCATGAAGACAGTGATGATGAAGAAACTGCCAGTCTTGAAGAGCTTATAACCAGCATAAAGAAGAAAGTACAACGGCAGTGTAAGGATTTTGTGACCATTCCAGATGATTGTATCATACCTGTGAGTGCTACTGGAGCTTTGGAAGCAAGGAAAGTGAAATTAGGAGTTAAGAGTAGAGACATTAAAATGTTAATACTGAAGTTTGAGAGACTCCAAGACAAAATCACAACTGAAGAGCTTGACAAAATTAGTCAGGTACCATTATTGGAGAAAAAGTAAAATATTAAATGTGGTAGCAATGGTATTTTATTATTAAGTTGTAGGCTTTTTGAAGTTGCTCTTAACTCTTATCGTTTATGGCACTACAGCATTGTAAGGGATTGTTCTAGATATTTGGAGCAAGCTGTTAGAGAGCTCGTTGGAGTTGAAGCTGCATTTAAGTGTGCTGAAGAAGGTTTGTCTACTATCCTGTTTTTATACATGTACTTTCCTTCAATTATAGAGTATTTAAGGAAAGTAAATGAAAAAGAAAGGCTGAAAGTTGAATATAAGAAACAAAAGAAAGATCTTTTATCCAAGTATGATAATGGATCAACATTTCATGGTTCTTTAGAAAGCTCTTATGATAAAGATGTGCAGGTATTAATTGTATCTATAGTTTTCTTAATATTAATTGTGTTCAGTCCCTTTATTGTAAAATTGATGAGCAGTATAAGGAAAAGTTTCAAAACTTTCAATCTAAGATTAAAGAAGCACCAAAAATTACCTCTGAAGATTATAAAACAGGTTCATATTATAGTTCTATGAATTCTGTGTTGATGTTATACCTTCATGCATCATGATTTGTTATACATAATACATGTATAATTATTGCAATAATTATTACAGAAGTTGAAAAATTCATTGAAGAAGCAAATGAGTCACTGAAGATTGAGCTGAAACACGTTCCTTTTAAAGAAATGAATGCCATCATTCAAGACTCCACATTTGATTTAGGTGTAGCTAGACTTGCAATGGAACAAACTCTAGCAGAGTATTGCAACACCACTGCATCAGCTTCAAGTAAGAAATTGTACTATAGCCTTGTGCTTTTTTCTGCAGTTAGTTCAAAAAGCATCGCCATGCAATTTGCATTAGAATTTTTGATACATAACTATTGATGCTCTCAGACTATAATTTTTTGAATTTGATCATTTTGAAGAATATTCCAATTACTGAAAGCATGTACATGTAGAAAGGTATAAAGCTGACTCTGATTAAAACAGTAAGTGACTAGCAAATAATAATCAATTCACCCAAGTGACTCAAAATCTAACCCATTTACTCAAATGCCAACTAGGAAATCAATGCACTCAAAAGATTGATAACTATGAGTAGAACTTTATTAAGGGCAATCTAGGTTGTGTAGTTAAGTGTAGCCAGCCCCTGTAAGAGACTATTTCATTTCTAATCTATTCTTTTGAAACAAGACTCCTTGGAGCAAATTTTTGCACAAATAATGAGATAGTTATATTTCTTTGCATTTTAGGAAGCAGTTTTTTATCTGGAGGTGAGAGTGTCACTGACATTCTTAATGATGAACCAGTTAGCACGTAAGATTAATTCTATTTTGCTCTTAATTTCTGCTGTCTATAGTGCACCACTGGAACTGAAGGACTTGTTGACCAAGAGCAATTCCTTGTAATAAGTAGTTTTTGTTAGTGTTCAATTTATTTGACTATTATTACATGTATATAGGCAGTATAGTATAATTGACAGAATGGTAATTTTTGCTCAAAAGTAAGTTATACTGTCACTCATAAATTGTTGCTTTATTTTTAATTTATACACAGGGTTTTCCTGAGGCTTAAGACTGAGCATGATCCAAGACGTCGTTTATTGTATATAAACCATTCAATTAATGTACAATAATTAATAATTATGGATACTCTTTATAGGGATGTGGAAAGAAATGCATTGCTTGAAGAACTAAAGCAATGCCTCATGAATGACAGTAAAGAATATTTTAACAAAATTAAACCAAAAATAGTTGAAGTAACAGCAGTTATTCTAAATTTAAACAATTATTGTTTCCTGCTTTTTTTAGAGCTACCTAATAGAACACAGAACAATTGCTGAGCGTCACATAGCTGATGTAAAGTCACTTTTTTTAGAAGAAAGAAAGCAGATAGACAATACAGTTAAAAATGTGAGTACTGCATTATTACTAACATAAGTTGTATTCATAATTTACTTTAATCAGTGGGCTAAACAAGTTCTGGTTTTTCGAGAGCTAAAAGAGTCACAGTCTATTTTAAGTCAAAGGCTTACAGAACAAAAAAGTCATCTCACAACTCTTTATGCTGCCAGATTTTTATGACCTAATTTGAATTTATATTATTCTTAAAATTATGGATTCTTATTTTTATTCTGTTATTGTCTCAGTTTGCTCCATTTTCACTATTAATTAACTATGATATTGATAAGCATTAAAGTATTTATGGCCAGAACCCTAAGGCAAGTTAATAACATGTACTACAACATGTACATACTTACTGTTACTGGCCTTCTACTACCGTACAAGATGATTTATTGGCAAATTTAACTGTGGAAAGTTAACTGGCAAATTTTATATTGGCAATTTTGTGCTACATCACCATTGAGCATTCTCATGCAGATGGAAATAAAATGGGGGATTTTATATTGGTGGTTTCTTCATAAAACTGCCCATTGCCAATATTAATTCCTCACAAATAGTAAATCATTTTGTATATAAAGCTTGAGATAATCTCAAAAACCAGACCATTCCCCAGCCTACAGGCATTGTACCCCAATGACTGCAGGCTGGTGAATGGTCAGCTGGCAAGAATAGGTTGAGGTTATTTGAGGGAACAAAATGATCATTATGTAAAATCAAAAGTCTAACTAACTAGCAACTACAGTCACTAAATCTAACACTACATAATACTCAGGAGACAATTTTTATTGTTTGTAATGTCAACAAGGGTATGACCAGCACTTGAAAGTATCAGAAGTCCTCTCATGTGTCAATACCTACAAATTAAATCATTAGATCTATATACATGATCTATATGAAAGCACTCACTTCTTTGTATATATTAGTATAAGCAATGAGGACACAGCGACCCCAGTTCTGCATGCACTTGCTTTCCAACTGGCCCTCAGCATCAAGTGGACAGTTAACAGGACAAGAGAAAGCTTGAACAGGATAAGGGAGTGCTGTATATGAATAGTAGCAAGCCCAACAGTTAGAAATGAGGCAACCTCTAGGACATTTTACATTGCTACCGATGCTTTTATCATCACTATGAAATAAAGAATTTAACAAGCATAAAGTAGTGATTATATATGTAGCATCAATAAAACTTACATTGTACACACAGCTCCTCTTTTGGTGACACAATATTCCCGACTACAAGTTGGTGGACATGCTGTATATTTGTTACTTGAATTAATTTTTATACTATAAATTTAAACTAACTTACCACTACATTTCTCTTCACAATCATGTTTAGTAAAAAAGTTATTTCCATTTGAATGGCATCCTCCATAATAAAAGACTTCACACTTTTGACTGGTTGAGTTATAAAAGTATCTTTGTATCTGGCCATTGCAAGGTCCTTTATAAGGCTGGATAGTGCAGGGATCAATTTCTGAAGAGGTGGAAATAAGAATTCAAAATCATTATTCATTGCTATAATATAATTGACTAACTTGGGCAGTCCTCAGGTTCAACACAAGTTAGTTTTTCTTCATCAATTAATTGTCCATTAGGACATGAACAGCCAGAAGTATCTGATGGACAGACACGATAAGGCTCAGAGCATGTCTTGGGACAACTGTTACTCTCC